TTGTTGTTATTGTTGTTGTTTTTGTTGTTGATGTTGTTGTTAGGTGGCATCAAGTTGACCCCAACAGGTTGAAACCTTGTCCTGTACTATACTATCAAGAGGATCACTGCTTATTCTGAAGCCCAAGTTGCTAGAGTAGTATGTTAAAACACTGATCATTTCACTGAGATTTAGGGATACCATGTTCTCATCTGTGGATAAAAAGCACCAAAAGCACATTGCCTTAAGGCCCTGCCACTGGACCATGGCTGCTCTGCGTGGGTCTGGGTGATTATAAGCCACACTTCACTCCTCCGTGACTATGCAAAGAAAAGTTATAGCCAAAATGAGGTTCATGCCTCATTTTGGGGCGGTTTTAAACACCTGGTAGAACACACTGTGCTTTCTCCTCAGGAATCACCTTGATCACTGCCTTGACAAGAACTTAGAGCCGTGATCACTTAGATAGCAGGTGAGGGATGTTCTCTCAGTGCTGCAGCCTGAGACTTTGCCACTTGTCCTTTTGGCTGACACACGTGCTTAATCCCATACTTGAACATAAGAGGCAAATAGCCTTTCCCTGTCTTCAAGCTGACTTGTGAAGTCTAGGAGGGAAAAGAAAAGGAGTCTCCATTCATTTAGTGAGAACCGAAGACATACCAGGAAGATCTATGAACAATTAATTTCAGGAAACAAAAGCACTATATGATTTTGAGACCATGATTAAAGTTGGGGAACTTAGAGGAAAACATACCTCACTTGCTTCGCTTCATAGGTCTTTTACTGATTATGAGGCATAGGGGTCTCTGGTAAAGTGTCCATAGAGCGTTATGCTGCTCACCCAAAACTGAGCCTCTCTGGTAGTTCCAGTATGCTAGCAGCTCTGTGAAAGGAAGATGAGCAAGCTCCTGTGTGATATATAGCCTCCCACACCCAGTGGAGAGTCAGCTATGAGTTGATTCAACTTGACAACAATGATACAGCCGGTCAGCTCAATTCCAAAGGAAGAACTGATGGCTTTGACTTGTAGGGTTGGTGAAGAGTACTGACTATGCCATTGACTTCCAAAAGAACAAACAGATCGCTCTTGAAGGAGGCAAGTTGTAACTATTAACAACCAATGTCTTCTGCACCCATCATAGTGCAGCCAATTGGCCCAGTGATGAGAATGTTTGTTTTCTTGACCTTCTGCAGCAAGAGCTGCAGGTCCTCTACAGTTTCAGCAAGCGAGGACGTGTCATCTGCAGAACGTAAGTTGTTGATGAGTCTTCTTCCAATCCTGATTCCATATTCCTCCTCCCAAATAATATATTCTGCATATAGATTGAAAAGGTATAGAGACAGGAAGCAACCCTGATGCACTCTCTTCCTGATTTTGAACCATGCAGTGTTTCCCTGCTCTGTTCTGAGGACTGCTTCCTGTTCCAAGTATAAGTTTCATGTAAGCACAATCAAGTATTCTGGGATTCCCATTCTCCTCAAGGTTAATCACAATTTGTTCTGATTCACACAATCAATGTCTTTGCAAAGTCAATGAAACACAGATAGATATACCTCTGGTACTCTTTGCTTTCTGCCAAGATCCATCTGACCTTGGGGATAATATCTCTGGCGCCATGGCCTCTTCTCAATCCAGCTTGTATTTGTGGTAGTTCTTCGTCAATATACTGTTCCAGTCATTTCTGGATGCTCTTCAGCAGGATTTTACTTGCATGTGATACGAGTTGTTGCAAACCAGACGCAGAAAGAAAGTAGGGACACGAGGAAATGAATTCTGAAAAAGAGGGAAGTCTGAGGCTGAGGTCCTCTCACAGCTTAGCACTGTGAAAAAGCCCCTTTCTTTGTCTCCCTATGGTGTTTATTTAGTTTAAGCCAATCATCCTAAAAAAGTTCAATCTCCAGGAGACTATATTTTCCTTATACTTAAGTGTTGCCAACATAACAATGGGTAAGCTTAATCTTTGAACTAAGACCAAAGTTCAGACACAGCATCCCCTCAGGTGGGGGGGAGGGGAATCTCTGTTTGCAGAGGGTACTCAGTCCTGTCTGGACTCTGATCTTAGCTGTGGCCCAGCTGTCACTATGTTGGGGAATCCACAATGAGTGATTGTGTTGTTGTTCTTGTTAAGTGCCATCAAGTAGACTACGACTTGTAACAACCCTATGGACAAAAGATCTGAACCTTGTTCTATAATTATTGTTATTTCTCTAAGTTCATTGGGTTTCTAGAGGTATGTTCTTTAGAAAGTGGATGCCACTCTTGCTTCCAAGGCTTTGTTAATCTGGGAATTCCACCAAACACTGTCCACCTTGTGTAACCATTAAAGCATTTGACACACCAGAGGCACAGTGTTCAGTATCACAGCAACCCCAAATTACCTCAGTACAGCAAATTGACAGACCAGTGCTGTACCACTTAGAAGAATTTCATTATTGTACAATTATTTCCACACTCTGTCAGATAACCTTTTTTTCAGGAATGGCAATTAATATGGATTTCTTCCAGACAGATGGAAAGAAATACAGTGCAAATCCACCAGCTGCTCCTCGCGGGAGAAATATAGGCAATCTCCTCCTGTGTGTTTTGCAGCCTCTGAAAGCCCCTGAAGCGTCAGGTATGGGTTGATTCTGACCCCAAGGTTCACAACAGTAACTGTGTAGACACATAATTCTAGTGTTTCCTTCAATATGCCATCATAAATCTGTTGAACATTTTTGTTGTTGTTGTTATGTGCCGTCGAGTCATTTCCGACTCATAGCGACCCTATGCACAACAGCCCTAAACCCTGCTCTATCCTGCGCCAACCGCACTGCCTCTGACACACCCATCCCGATTATCCCAGTCACTGAATCAATCCATCTCATAGAGGGTCTTCCCCTCCTGCGCTGTCCCTCCACCCTCCCAAGCATGATGTCCCTCTCCAAGGACCCGTCCCTCCTGGCAACATGTCCAAAGTATGTCAGACGAAGCCCCAGAATCCTTGCCTCCAAGGAGTAGCTTGGTTTAATCCTCTCCAAGATGAATCTGTTTGTTTTCCTGGCAGTCCATGGTACATTCAGTACTCTTCTCCAGCACCACAGCTCAAAACCATCCACTCTCTTTCTGTCCTCCCTAGTCATTGTCCAACTCTCTGATGCATAACAAGCAATTGCAAAGACCATGGCCTGTATCAGGCGCACCTTAGTCTCCAGAGAGACACTGTTGCTCCTGAGTACTTTAGAGAGGTCCCTAACAGCAGACTTTCCCATCGTGATACGCTTTTCTATTTCCTGACTGCTGGTGCCAAGAGTGTTGACTGTGGAGCCGAGCAAACTGAAGCTGTGAACACTCTCAATCTCTTCGTCATCCATCCTGACGCTGCTAATTGGTCCAGTGGCGAGAATCTTTGTCTTCTTGACATTGAGCCTCAGTCCATACTGAAGGCTGCAGTCCTTGACCCTTCGCAGCAAGTGCATGAGGTCCTCCTCAGTTTCAGCAAGCAGGGTTGTGTCATCTGCATAACGCAGATTGTTAATAGATCTTCCACCAATCCTGATGCCACAATTCTCCTCATAGAGTCCAGCCTCTCGGATAATCTGCTCTGCATACATGTTGAAAAGGTATGGAGACAGGATGCATCCCTGGTGTACACCCTTCCCAATTTTGAACCATGCAGTGTTACCCTGCTCTGTTCTGACTACTGCCTCTTAGTCCAAGTATAGGTTTCACATTAGCACAATTAAATGTTCTGGGATTCCCATTCTTCTCAGAGTCAGCCACAGTTTGTTATGATCCACACAGTCAAATGCCTTTATACATAACAAAACATAAGCTACCTCAAGAATTTTGTGATTTTGACTATATTCTTAAAACTTGTGCACTCATTCTCACTATCCTTTTCCAAATCATCCCACCATCATTAGCACAAATTCATTGTCCCCTAGGCAAACTGTCCTTCTCTGTTCCTCCTCCTCATGCTTTGTAATCACTAATAATCTTTAGTTTCTATATATTTGCACATTTCATACACATGAGAACATACAGTTTTCATCCTTATATTACCAACGTATTGTAGGGTAATGTTTTCAAAATTCATCCAATATATGACATGCAGGAAGACTTAATATCTCTCTGTGTGCAGCATGTCACTACATGTATGTATTCCAGTCATCTGCTGATGGTCATTTTAATTATTTCCATCAACCTTTGGCTGTTGCTAAATGTGCTGCAGTGACTTTAGTACCATTTTAACAGACACATCGCATTAAATCACATGATGTATTAAACTTTGTGAGTCTCTATCTCTAGAAGATGTACTTATATAAAGCAAAATACATCCTCCCACATCTCTCTTTGGGCATTTATTTCTTTAAAAAATCTTGTTTATGCATTGAGTAAGGGGGAAGAGAAAGAAAAAGAACAAAACATGTATAAATGCATGAATGAAAAACCAATTTCCTTGTGAACTTTCAATCAACTCACAGCTCTTTAAAAATTCTTTTAAGATCTCAGATCATCAACAAGATATTAACTTGTTCATTTAACCAACAGTTGCTTAGGTCTTTGTGTCCAGGACTGGTACACAGAAAAGAATATTTAGCTGGTGTTGAGAAAGGCTTCAGATCTTGGGGGAGAGGTAGATGGATGAACAGACTATTACAGTGCAGAAAGGTGAACACTCAGATAGGAGCAGCACAAGAGGCTGTGAAAAAGCAGATAGGGGTACCCCACCTGGTGGCTCACAATAAGGATCCTTCACCTCCTAATTACCACTGATTTCAGCAAGACTGGTTCCTTCCCATCTAAATCTTGGTCCTTCCCCCAAGGCATGACTATGACAGAGCCTTAAACAGTGAAGGCTCATTGTGAACTGCTGGCCAATGGACTGAAGTTAAGATTGGCACGGTATCCTGTGCCCTTCTAGGCTACTGGCTGAGCTCAACCCCACCTAGCAAGGAAAATAAAAACCTGTGTTCAGAGGCATTCCCAATAAAGATTTCTGGACTTCATAGAACCCACTGTCTACTCTCTCTCAGAAGCCATGAAGTCATTACTCATCCTAGCAGTCTTTATGCTCCTTGTCCATTTGATCTCAGGTAATCAGAACCTGGGGGAAGAAGAAACATTGAATCAAGTCATGTACACAGAGTCTTTTATCAAGCTGTTCCTGGGACTCGGGGAGGGTTTTTGCAAGGAGGGGAGTGCTATGGTCTGCCCTCGTCCTCCTTCCCAAGAGTCCTCAAGGCTCTCACAATAGAACAGGGTCTGTGATTGGGCTCCATGACTGAGGCAGCGCACTCTGAAGCCTGTGGTCACCTCCAAAGGCAAGCTGTCTCGATATCCCAAACTTCTCCATGTCCTGTCATAAGGCATCTTGGTCTAGCTCTACTTCTTTTCAGTCTGTGGGCTATTACCTGATGCAGTAATACTTCTTTTCCCAGTTTTCTTGATCCTACAAAGACATTTTCTCATCATTTTTATCGTTGGATGTTGTGAATAGGTTTGGCAAAGCAATTTTTACATACCTATAGGATGGTCTTTTGTTCGTAGAGTCACTATGAGTCATGCTCGACTCAGCGGCAATCAACAACAACATAAGGTGATCATGCTGACAGGGGAAAGAAAACTATTCTGACAGACAGGAGGGAAATGTAGGATTACTGTAAAAACTATGTCATACTTACACTTCATTTCCTTCAGTTTAATTCATGCTATATATTTATAAAATTAAATCAAGCACGCTGAGAGCACTTTGAAAATAGAAAAATGGGCTGCAATTCATCACTACTTATGTGTTCTAAATTGTGATCAAGGAATATCCATGTTTCTAACCTGCTTTTTGAACATAACAGTGTGTCTGGACAATTTTCACTTATCTTTACATGTTCCTTGAAAATCCAGTTTTCAGTAGATGCTAATTATGCTGTCATAGTTTGGTAAAAATAGAAACTTGGAGAACCCCTTAGTTTGGGTTATCTGGATGTTTCCCAAATGTTACTGTTATACAAATGATTGTGCAGTCTTGGTAACACACCATTGTAAGTCTCTGATTGCACAGGTAAACTTTAGAAACTCCATTTTTTTTCTTTTAAAGAATGATTAGGTATCATAAGAAACTGGCATATGTTTACTATTAGCCAAGTTATTTCAATTAACCAAATGGTTCCTACCTGCAAATTAATGAGGTGTAATGAATCTATTGTTTTTACAAATTAATAAGAATTGGTTTTGTAGTTATTTTATGTTTTCTTGATAAATTAATTTTTAAAATTAGCCTATTTTGTACTTACTACCAATGACTCCTAATACATTAGTTGCTTCTGAAAAATTTAGGAGGCACAAAATTTTCCTATTTGTGATGTTAAATCTGTTCCTTTTTCTCTACATTCTTCTATTTGTTTTTGTTGTTATGTGCCATCAAGTCACCTGCAACTCATAGCGACCCTTTGTATAACAGTCCTAAACTCTGCCCTACCCTGTACCAATCTCACCATCTCTGACAAACCCATCCCCATTACCCCAGTCACTGAATCAATCCATCTCATCGAGAGTTTTCCATCCCCATTACCCCAGTCACTGAATCAATCCATCTCATCGAGAGTTTTCCCCTCCTGCACTGTCCCTCCACCACCACGTCCCCCACCCCCAAGCATGGCATCCCTCTCCAAGGACTGGTCCCTCCTTGCAACATGTCCACTTGAGTTTCCTGTTTTTAAGTTTGTTGGTTTTTTAGCTGGACTCAATCTTATCTTTAAGTTATGACACAATGTGAACAACTAACACCTTGCTGTAGAACTTTTTAATAGGTAGAGAGTTGTATAATAATGTCACCAGCTATCTCTAGAGAGATTTGCTTCTGTTCTCTGGAAGATGCTGAACCAATACAATAATGATAAGAAGATATTTATGAGGGTTACCTATTGTGACCTTGAAATACTATGAGTTTAGCTTTCTTTCTTCCTCTGCTTCTGGAACATCGAGAGCATATACCACACACTTGCACAGGATCTACCAAATAAACTAAAAACCCTGAAAAAGAGCCACTTTTGCTTTCTACACAAATACAAAGAATTGTGAGTTATTCTGATATTAGAAATAGAGCACTTGAAAACAATGTCTGGAAGAAAGAATGTATAAAAATTCTCAAGAAGGCTATGAATCACTCAGGAGGAGACTGCCCACATTTCTCCCTCAGAACAGCCGAATAAGTCTTCGGGCTGAGAATGCAATACTTTACCCACTAGACCATCACAGTTCATAGCAAGAAAACAAAGTTTCTTACCGCTGGAGCGATAGGAAATGTCATGATGGATGGAAAGGAGATTGAAACTGTCAACGGCTTCATCTTGCTTGGATCCACAATTAACACACTTGGTACCAGCAGTCAGGCAATAAAGGGACACATTGCATTGGAAAAAATCTGCAGTTAGAGACCTCTCCAGCTTACTGAGGAATAATGATGTCAATTTGAGGACTAAGGTGTGTCTGACTCAGGCTATAGTCTTTCTGATCACTTACTATGCATGTGAGAGTGGACAGTGAGTAAGGATGAAAGAAGAAGAATTGAGGCCTTTGAGCTGTGGTGCTAGATAAGAGCACTGAACATCCCATAGACAGCCAAGAGAACAAACAACTATATGTTGGATATCCAATAAATACATAAGAAAAATTAAATAGATATTCTTCTTAGTTAACCTAGAATAAGCGTGATTTTCATGTAATTTCTCCTGTGCGTAAAATCTATATAATAAAACAAATATGTATTAAAAACAAAACAAAAGCTAAATATGTTTTGGAAAGGGTGCAGCCAGAGTGCTCTTTGAAGGCAAAAATAATGTAGCTTTGCCCCTTATACTCTGGGCTTGTTCTAGAAGGGCCTATTCCTTGGAGAAGGATGTGATGGTAGGAAGGGTGGAGGGTTGAGGAAGGAGAGGAAGACCCTCAACCAGGTGAATTGATGTGGTAACTGCCAGACTAGGCTCTTGTGTGTCAGGGAGTTTGAGGATGGCACAGGACTGAATAGGATTAAGACCATTTGTTCATAGGGTCACTATGAGTCATACTTGACATCACCCAAGAATAAGAACATATATATTCTTTAGTCACTCTAATATAGATTTGTTGTTGCTGTTGTTGTTGACTGCCATCAAGTCCAGCATGACTCATAGCGACCCTATGAACAAAAGGCCTGCAGCCTTTCTGTAACTATCGCCATTTATCAAAGTTCATAGAGTTTCCAGAGGTATGTTGTTTAGAAAGTGGATTCCATAGATATAGAGTCACTAAATAAGATATATAGATACATATCTATAGATATACCTACACATCTACAGACATATATCTATAAATCTTAGTGACTCTTTATCTATATAGGGTACCAATGTATCTGTATCTACATAGAGGACATTTTTAAAATTTGGTTTTCATGACATGATATATTTTTAGCTAAACTATATGTAAACAACTCCATGGTTATAGTCCAGATATAATTTGTAGCACTCCAGAAATATGTACATATATTTTGAAAATCCTTCCAAGTGATCACAAAAGTCATACACATTTTGAATAAAGCCGAAAGCATCATAGCAGTGATTTGAGCATTCGATACTTGTGAATGATAGTTGTTTACCTCTACTTTGGTGTTTAAGAATGCTTTAGCTATCTTCCAGAAAACTGGCTGAAGATTTTGTTTAAGTGTTATAGTATTGCATGTTATGATATTGTATCCAGCAGTTTCCCTTTTAAAATAATGGGAAATGGGCCTCTGGTGAGTATTTGGATATAGAATTCTGATTTGAAGACCCATGCACGTGTCTAAAATTGTGTGCATTGACAAAAAATTTCATTTAATCATTGCAATAGAACAGGTTTTTTTGATGAGGAAAATATAACAAATTAGCTGGTAAGGGACTTGACAAAATGTTGCTTGAGAATCAAAGGTTGCTGTGTTCTGTGATGAGTATCTCTCCTCTAATGAGCTCTGTTGTTCCTTCATCCAGGGAGCTGGTTTGTGAAAAAGTGTGCCAACACCAGAGGGAATTGCAGGAAGATATGCAAAACTGGAGAAACGAAAATCACCCCTCCTTCTTCAAGGTGTCCCCTAACCAAACTGTGTTGTGTCACCTCCGACCAGATTGAACATTCATGTGACAGCCCCAACTCTAACGAGGTATCCAGCACAGCAAATGTGAGTGGGACCCTGGCAGCAAAGACAGCAGCACCGGGAGGGGCGGTAACAACAGCCAAAACTGCTCCCACTACCACAGGCAAAGCTGATCCAGCTACGACCACCAGCGCTTAAGCAATCAGGCCTCGATCTCTTGACCTCGTCGCTCTAGACCGTTAAAGTAAAGGTACTTATCTCGGTGTCAGTCTGTGTTCTTCCTTTCTCCTGCTGCTGCCCAACTCCAGTCATGTTTAGTTAGCAAGGGCATCACAATTTAATGGCATAGGCAACTTGGGGTTAAAGGTCATAATGAAATAGGATCTGTTTGGGCGCTCACATATTTCTCAAGAATTTGGAGTTGGTTTGATTTTGAATCTTACAACTGAAAGTGAGTCCAAAAATGTCACTCTAAAAAAAATCAAAAATTCACTCTAGACTGAGGTATAAAAGTTGTATTGTCCTTGAAAATCCTGTCCAGCCGTACTAAACTGCATGGGAGCAATGACCCCAAACCTCCACTAATTCGGCAAAAAGGATGCATCCCCGTCAACAGCATCCACTGCACAAAACCAAGTCTGTGAGGTCGGACATACCTCACACTCTCTTTTAAAGAAAAAAAAAAAGAAAATGCTTCCATTTTTTGTTGCACATTTTGTTCCACTCTGGCCTCCCCTCTCCCCCAGCCCTCCCCACAATGCACTCCTTGTTCCAGAATGTTGTCGTACAACAGTATAACGCCTGATCACATATTCCTTTCGGATTGCTCTTCCTCTCATCTGTTCTAATGTAATACTCATAATCTATTCACTCTTTTCCCAATCTCTCCCCAACACCTCCATGCCTGTCCTATTTTAAACAGTTGTGTTATTTAGTGTTTGTTCTTCCGTAACTAAGATCTTTCACTCAGCATACCTTCCTCCAGGCTCTCCCCTGCTGTGTCATGTTTTACAAGTTCATTGTTTTTAAATCCAGCTTAACATTCCATAGTTTTCTATCCATTCATTTGTTGATGGGCCCTTGGGCTGCTTCCATATCTTTGCCATTGTGAATAATGCAGCAATATATGTGGATATGCATACATTTGTTTGAGTTGTTCATGCTTCACACACTGGGACCTACTTTTACCAATTCTAACAGCAATTGCCCCTCCCAGGGCTCTCCTATTGAGCTATTGGATCTACTAATCCATTGCAATGGCCACACAGAACCCACAGGCCATATTCACAATTATCAAGTTTACTAAGGAAGTTAATAGATTGCAGTTCAAATTAAAAACAGGATACAATTCTTCACTGACAGCTTCTACAGTGTGTTGGCAGGCCATTTGGCCTTCAGCCTTAAGGGTTTAGGAAGATGTTCTACAACTCTTTTAGTCCTGTAATTATGGCATAGTGAGCTTTGGTGGCCTCTTGATAAGAAGATGCACAACAATACCAGACACAGGTAGTTTGAACCCACGAGCTCCTTCAAGGGAGAAGGATTGACAATCTTCTCTCATGTGATTAACTGCCTTGGAAAATCCACTGGAGGATCAGCTGTGGGGTTATTCTGACTCAACTGTATACAACAACAACAATTATGTCATAGTCCACAGTCCTCCAGCAAGTCAGCGTGAAGGCCCTTAATTCAGGCTCCTTGGAACAGCAGTTGCAGTTCGGCTCCCATTGATTCTGGCTCTCTGTCACTTCTTTTTCTACGGCTGGCGGTGCTGTCTTTCAATCTAGATCTGTCTCCATCTCCTGCAGAAGCATCTGGCCTAAAAGTGCACACCAGACACGGCCGGAAGAATTCCCAGAAGAAAGATTCCTGGTCTTCAACTCCAGAGGTTCTGATTCAACTGTTGTTGTGCTATTGTTAGTTGCTGACCTGTTGTTGTTAGCTGTCAACCACAACTCATAGAGACCCCATAAACAGCAGACCCAAACGTGCCCTGTCCAGTATCATTCTCAACAGTCTAACATAAAAGTGCCCTTTGCTCCAGCCACCGTGTCAACCCATCTTGTTAAGAATCTTCCTCTTTTTTGCTAACCCTCTACCCTTCTAAGCACGATGTCCTTGGGACTGACATCTCTTAACAACATGCCCAAAGTATGTGAGGTGGAGTTTCATGATCCTTCCCTCCATGGAGCACCCTGGTTGCACTTTGCCCATTGTTGGTGGTTCTTCTGGCAGTCCATGGGATATTCGGCACTTTTTCCTAACACAATAGCTTGAAGGCACCAATTCTTCTACTGTCATTCTTAGTCCTTGTCCAACTTTCCGATGGACAGGAAGTAATTGAAAAGACCATGGCTTGAATCAGACACACCTTAGTCTTCCAACTGACATCACTTCTCTTCAGTATCTTGGAGCAGGCCCTAACCCCAGACTTTCCTACCACAACACATCATCTGATTTCTTGACTGCTGTTGCCACAGGTGTTAATTGTGGATCCAAGTAAGATGAAATCGTTAACCACTTCCATCTCTTCTCCATCTATCATGATGTTGCCTATCGGCCCTGTGGTGAAGATTTTTGTTTTCTTGCTGTTGAGATATAATCTGTATTGAGGGCTGTAAGCAGTTTATGGGTGGTTCGCTGGTAGAATTCTCGCCTGCAATATTGAGAGCTGTAGTCTTTGACCTTCTGCAATAAGCACTTTAGGTCCTCCTCGCTTTGGGCAAGCAAAATTGTATCATCTGTATACTGCAGTTTGTTGATGAGTCTTCCTCTGATTCTGATGTCACATTCTTCTTTATAAAGTTTAACCTCTCAAATTATTTGTTCTGTATAAGGATTGAATAGTATGGAGAAAGGATACAGCTCTTACAGCTTCTTTGATTTTAAATCACACCATGATTTAAAAAGTTGTTCTGCTCTGTTCAGATAACAGTTCCCTGGTTTAGGTATACATTTCACATAAGCCTAATTAAGTGTTCTAGAATTTCCATTCTTCTCAATATTAGCCATAGTTTATTATGATCTACATAGTCAAATTGCATAGTCTATAAAATACAAATAAACATGTCTCTGGTATTCCTTGCTTTCAGTTAAGATCCACCTAACATCAGAACGAGATATCCCTAGTGCCACTGTCATAAGACTATGGGTAAAGCTCTGAGAATTTACTTTACTCACAAAAGATGCTGATAATACTGGTCCAGGGAACACACTTTAAGAACCATTGGCCTAAAACAGAGAATGATTGAAGTCTCCTGTTAGGTGATTTCTTTTTTAAGATTGCATTTGCTGTATATTTTTTAAGTGGTTGATAATATAAAAGCATCCTTACAAAAATCCTCTCCTTAATAGAGTCTTACAACAACCTTAGACTGAGGTATTGTGGCAACACATCAGGGAACATATGCCTTGATTTGGGAGTATTAGAACTGAGACAGATTCTGTTGACTCCTGAGAACATTGTCACCACATCTTAATGTTCTGCAATTGACTTCTTTCTCTCAAAGTCCACAGTCATACAAGTTTCCAACTCAGAGAGGTTGGAAGGGAGATCATGAGATTTTGTAATGGGACCTCAGTAGTAGGCACTCACCAGAAGCCATTGGGCTTCTTTTCTTCTTTCTTCTTAAAGAGATTATGTGCACTATGCAGGCTAAGTCTGCAGTTTGGAGGCTCCTGTGAATTGGCTTGGCTCTGGAAGATGGTTTCTCGCATCTCCATGAGGTTCATTTATGGACCTTTTGGTTGGTTTTTTACTTCCCACTCCCACCCCTCCACAAGCAAGTGTCAGCTGAATGGACTTGCCAGATTCAGCTAACAATGAGCTATGGCCTGGGGCGGAGGGGGGTGGGGTGGGGGGGTGTCTCTGGTTTCTAGTCAACCAGCATTTGCTGGATGTACCTGTCTTTAAAAATTCTGTAGGGCCCAGAGGGCCACAGGCCTGAGAGCCAAATGTTAATTGATTTTGCTTTAAACATTCTTTTAAGTGGTACAGCCTGGTCTGTCTATTTACTGTTCTGAAGTAAGTTGGAGTTGCTGTGATGCTGAACACTGTGCCACAGGTGTGTCAAACATCGTAATGGTTACCCATCATTAGCAGTGTTTGGTGAAGCTCCCAGATTGACTCAGGTTTGTAAAGCAGAAGTTCATCCACTTCCTAAACCACATGGCTCTGAAAACTCTATATAAACAGAGAAACTATGATAGTTAGAGAACAGGGTTCAGACCTTTTGTTGATCTATGAGTTGTACTCAACTCCACGGCACTTAACAACAACAATAGATGAAAGGGAGACTGGAGGAAGCAGTCCTACCCTGAAAGGTGGGCTCTCTCTTATTTTGGTTGAGGGCCAGAAGGAAGGTTTGGTTGTTTTTTTACTTAAGCCTCTTGTTTAGAGTCAACAAGACCTCTGCAGGGCCTTTGTATTTAAAAGTCAGTTGCTGTTGTTATTATACTTTGGAGGAACATTCTTCTAAGCTGCACAGCACTCTTCTGTCAATTTGCTGTACCTGGAATTTCTGTGATGCTGAACGTTGTGCCAATGGGGTGTAAAATACCATAACGGTTACCCATGGTGTTTGGTGGAGCTCCCAGTTTAACACAAGTTTGGAAGCCAGAGTGGCATCCACTCCTTAAACAACTGCCTCTGAAAACTCTATGAACTTTGAGAAATGACGATAGTTATAGAAAGACTTCAGATCTTTTGTTCATAGGATCACTATGAGTCATCCTCGATCCGATAGTAATCAACAACAACTTGTCCACATTACTCAGAGTATGGGCTGGTGCATCACAAAGACATCTGTCCATCCCTCATCCTTCAAGCTCACTTTCCTGAAGGTTGAGACAGAGAGAACAGGAAATATAGCTGCTATCACTTTCTGAACATCCCTCTTAGTCAAGTTAGTCTTCAATGGCCTCAGATTATGTACTTAGGAAATGATACAGCTGAAAAGAACATCTTTCCTCAAACCCTTCTCATGCTAACAGCTTTCTAATTCTAAAATATGTGCACTTAGGCAGGCCAGTAAGATGAACAGCTATGGACAAGGGAAAATGACTACAGCAGTGATTATACGTAAGTTCAGCAGATGATTTTTCTACCTGCTTGTTTGTGAATGAGGAACATAGTCTTAGTGCTGCAGCCCGAAACTTTGCCTTCCTGTCATTTTGACTGACATCCATATAGCCATCCACTCTTGAGCCTAAGGGGTTTTTTTCTGTTTTGAAGTT